AGCCCTCCTTCCTGTCACGCACCCAGGAGGATGCCCCCCACCACCTCCATGATGACGCGCGGCTGCTTCAGGCATTTGGTGCCCAAAGAGAGCAAGCGTGTCACTGTGATGATGATGACCGCCTGGGAAGCCCCACCGAATCCGAGAGGAGGGTCAGTAGGATCGTAACAGAGAAGCCCCCTCCCTCCCCTTCCTTTCGCCGCCTCACCTGCACCATGAACAACGACAGAGTATCCTCCAGCACGCCATGCCCCGACATAATCCCTCCCTCCGGTTGGAAGTATATGGAGCTGCTGCGTGGCCTGGGCTCGTCCAATCCTGCCTCTTCCCCTTGGAGCCAACGGTGGAAGGCCATCGCCGCCTCTATTGGTGGTCCTCCTATCCCAAGCGCCCCAAACACATCCGCTGGCGTTGTCGCACCTGCGGACGCTGCTACGACCCCCGCAGTGGGCCCCATGCCTCCCTGCTTGTCCGTACTTGTAGCCGAGCGGAACGGGCGCGAAGGGAGGGAGGTCGCTGTAGGGTAGGGTCTGTTGAGGGCGTAGGGCACGAAATGAATGTTGTGCGGGTCCCTGAAGCGAACAATGTCGTGAGTGATTCACCTCATCGCATGTCGGTCTTTTTGCTGGGCCGAAACAGGGACAAGTGACAGGTTGAATGAGGGCAGGTCTAAAAGGGAAATCTCCAACTGAAATGTCACGAGCAAAATCGCTTGTGACCATGGGCGAGATGCGAAAACGTATCGGACACGTGGAGGGGGACAAATAATGCCCTGAGCCACCGACACTGCGACCACCGCGCGACTCAGACAAGGCAAATTTCAAAACATGGCTATACATGGCTTCAAATTGGCCAGCAAAGGACTTCAGGGGAACCTGATGCTCGCGCGAGAAAGCCCTGTCTCATCATGGCACTCCTTTCTAGTGGAAATGAGGAGGTCATGCAAAATTACAATAATGGTCTTTTGTCCTTGACCTGCCGATTTCGCCGCTGTCTATGGAGATCAATGCTGTGAATGGACGCTGTTACTCGCTTACTCGCCCCCTATGTCCTGCACTAAGTTCCTTTTAAAAAAATGTTTTAGAGGGGCAACACGACCTCCTCTCCTCGCTGAACCGAGCCGAGCCATAAAAACGAGTTGTTCCCTCCCTCCCCTATGAAATTCTTTCTTTCCGGTCAAGACCACGTATTCGAAACGCTCGGAAAATGTCGCATTCGACATCAAGCACCCACTGTGACTCGCATAACTTTGCTTTCGGGCAATATTGGTCAGGAGTAACCACTTGTTCCGAGGAGGTTCAGACCTCCCCGTTTAGTGCCCCAGACGAGCAAGCATGACATACAGCTCCGAGCTTTGCACTTCATGTGCCTTTGTGAAGCATCTTTCTCCATTGCATCGTTCCCTTTCACCTCTCATTCCACATTCGTCCGGCTAATTTATGTGTTGGGGGGCCACAGCAGCAAAGCCCTTTTTGGCCTCGGGAGAGATAGGTTTCTCTCCAAGGTAGAGGTTGAAGATACCTCGAGCAAGCTCCAGGCTTGGAAATGTTTTGACAGGTTTATCTCGCACAAAGAGAGACAATCGGTCGTCCGGCTGGAATGTGAGAGGAGAATTCCAAGAGAAAGGATGAAAAAACAGAGAAGGGGGCAGCTCAAAAAGAATTCATCAATCAAGATTCTACGTGCGAGCCCTTCCCGGCTTTCTCGACACGTCTTCCTTACCGTCCATGCCAGTGTCAACGTCTCTTTCTCCTTGAGTGAAGAGCCTATGGCTGCAAGCAGCGATTTCTTGAAATCAGCCATCACCTCCTTCTTGACGCCGTCCACCGCCGCAAGCGCCTCCACGATTTTCCCTGCCGGGACGGTCCTCGCGAAAATCAGGTAGAGAGCGCGATTCAAGCCGGACCCTTCTTTCATCAAGGTGGCGTAGTATTTCGCCTCCTTGGCCAAGGCCTCCGAGCTCTTGCCTCGAAAGGCTTTGAGCCGGCCCAGCAGGGAAGTTTCCAAGTACAGCCCCACAGCATACACATTGACCTCTACAACGAAGAGGTTCTTCCGCCGAGGACCCACCCCCAGGAGAGTGAGCTCGCGGCCTCTGCCCCCGTGAGGAAGAATACGGTGCATGGGGAAGACTAGCCCGGTGACCTTGTCGACTACCTCCTTCCCTTTAACCTCGCATGTGTCGTTTGAAGTTTTTCCATATCCTGAAGAAAGAAGATAAGTTAAAATATGTGAAGCTTGATCTTTTGTCTAAATCGCAAACATGGTGCGGACCGATCGGGTGCGAAGCCGAGTTTTCTGGGGATAGCAGTACATATATTTGGGCATCTAGAAAATCACAACATTACCAGCATTTATACGGTCCATCTGCACATTTTTCAAAATTGACAGTTATCTATCACACTTGGGTACATGATGGCCCACAGAGAAAACAAAAAATTCAGGCCCGGGCACCTAGCAGTCTCTGGGACGTACCATCTGAGAGGCAAAGGAGGATGGCACAAAACAGTGCCAGACGAAAAATGCAAGACCGGGCCATGATGTTTAGCTTGCCAATGGTAATGTATACTTGCTGTACTTGTCAGAAAATTTTTGAAGGAGTATGGATAAGGGAGGAATACAGGGAAGTGACAAGCTGGTGGAATCTAGATCTTGTCGCTCGCACCTCAGGCTTGCTTCCTGGAGTCCTCACAACTTGTGTGTCTTTTCCCCTACGATGCGTTCGACACCACCATATCTCCCCTTTTAATGATTACATACCCTCGAAATGGATCGGCACTTGGAGAGTGCTGCAACACAGGCGTGCACAAAAAGCGTGGGCTCGCTTGGACATCAAGTAACCTCCTGGCTCGAGGCAACACGTAGTTGTGAGATGCACTGGAACAGGTTACTTTGTTTATCAGTTCCGGTAGCCGTCCCTTCCATTTCTTCAGGTACACTCCACACAAAAGGAACAATTCGAGGCAGGTGTCAGCTTCGTGCGTCCGTAACAAATTTTCTTCAAAATCGTATTCTGCTAAGTTTTCTGTTTTAAACAGGGTCTTCTCGCATTTAACTTCATATCATGCCGGGCAATCGTCGTTGGTCAACCGATATTACATTTCTCTATTCACATAGATTTCATTTCGTCCGTAATACTGATGCGGGTGCTGCTCGGTCTGACTCGGGTCGCCGGCGACCCCAACGCTCCCCGGTAGCGGATAATACACTTGCTGCCCATCATGCGGTGCTTGTGAGGACGGGGGGACTAGGCTCCCCCCCGTGTGTCCTGACCCGCTGTTGCTTCCTCCTGTAACCCCCGCGGGAGGTGCTCTCCCTCGTCCTCGATGGCTGTGAGGAGGCTCTAATGACTGTTGTGGCTGCACCGGTCCATGGTCCTGTACCTGCTGCACCTGATGCGAGTGATCTGAGGATGACAGACACTCCATAGCGCAAGCTCCTCCCGCCTGCATCGGTAATAAGTGTTCAGTTTGCTGCTGTTGCGAAAAGTTTGTAGATGGAGTCGCGAGCAAGTGCGCTCTTTCATATAGGGGCTGCTGCTGTTGTTGCTGTAACTGTTGGCTTGCCATTTGTGGCTGCCGCTGGTCACTATGTTGCTGCTGTTCTTCTTGCTGCTGTTGCTGCGCCGCGTACAGAGAGGCCGCCGAGGGGGCCCATCGAAATGTCAGTCCGTAGCTCTCCGGGTATCCTGGGTCAAGCCAAAAATAAAAGAGAGCATGTGGGTAGAGGGAAAGAACCTGAGCAAGAGAAATTTGACAGGCCACCGTTGTAATGAACGGAAGATGAAGGGAGAGGAGGAGGTGATGAAGGGACGAGAGGGGTGGCATCGACACAGGTCAGGGCCAGGGGGGGGCCTCAAGCGCGGGGCCCATAAATTCGGACATCGGAGCCGCGAGCCGATCATTCCCTCCCGCTTTGTCTCCATCTTCGACCGACTCATGCATTAAGAAAATGTCTGTGCCCGTTCGTCCCCCTTCCAGCCCTTGTCTCACCTTGAAGCTTGGTATCCAGGCGCCGGAGCACCATCTCCGCGTCCCTCTCTGCCTGAATCTCCACCTCCGTAGTCTCGACGACTGGCGAGAGAGGGGGACGACAAGACGCAGGTTGGGAAAGGATGGAGAAAAACTATCAAGGGACAACTCGAAGCAGCACAAAATAAACGCCTTCAAGCCTCGCCTCTCTCCCTCCCTCCCTCCCTCCCTCACTCCCTCCCTTCCTTCCTCCCCCTCTACGCACATGCCGCCCGCAGCCGAGGCTTGTTCGTGCAAACGTGTCCCTTCTTGGGTTGCCCACAGCGACCGCATTTATAGCCACCTCGCCGGTCGCCGCTTTTGCCTGGGGGGAAGCGAGGGAGGGAGGGCGGGGTGACGGAAACGAAAGGGGCTTTGTCCTCGCGAGACACCTTTTGCAGGAGAAGCCACGAAAATGAAAGGAGAAGATGACCGACAAGATCTTGACCCGGCAAAAATACACCCAGGCCCGCCGCAACAGCGCCCTCATCTCCACACCTGCCCTCGCATTGGACCCTACCTTTGCTCGTACCAGCCGCTGGCCGGTCCTCTTCGTTGTCGCTGTCGTTCTCCGGCTTCGCCTCCCCAGGCTGCCAAGCGCGAGGAATGCGGATGCGCTCTTGGAAAGGTACCGGCGCCCCGGGCGCTGAGGGGCCAGGAAGAGGAAGGGAGGGATGAGAGAGGAAGAGGGACGAAGGGTGTTGAGCACGGTGGACCTATGGCGCCAGGACGACTTGCAGGCTGTTTCGAGCCCAGAAACGCTCTAAAATGATCTGCCAGCGTAGAAAGGGCTCCATATCTACTCGGTCGGGCATCGACTAGGACCCTTTACCCCCTCCCATATTCGCTAGGCGCTTGTTGAGGAGTCAGCCCCCGAGGCAAAGCGGCCACGAGTTCCCGTACCGTCAAGCAATCACGCTAATTTCACTCCCGGAGCCAATTCCTGACCCAACCATCTCCTGACTCTGTCGGCAATTGCCTAGCAGTACCCTCACTTCCTTACCCCAGTCTGGGCTTGCATCGGAATGACCTCGGAGGCCACCGCCACTCCCACTCCGTGTCCAGACCTCAGGATTGGCCATTTTAAATGCCGCTTAAGCAATCGCAAGAAGTAGGAGCATGAGTTAGTAAGCATTTGATAATATTTTTTACCCCACGAGCATAGAGTGAGTGAGCATAGAGTGAGTGATCGCATCAGCATCATGATGATCATCATCGATAACAAAGGGTAGAAGAACAAGTCAGTCCCCCCTCTTGCCGATCCCATGTGCGCGCAATACCAATAATAAGCATACGTTCGCATTACAAAAGGTGACAAGTATGTAAGCATGATATATGATGTCCGGTAGGACTGTGACTGTTCTCAGTCCTGGCTGGCTTTGTCCGAGGCCGGGGGGATACAATATTTGGCAAGCCCCCACCCGAGGCAAAGCCGCGGCCCTCAAGCAAGGAAAGGGAAACGGCGCTTGCTATGAACGACGGAAAGAATTCGCGAAATGAACGCACTTACCAATGACACACCCCATCAAAGGTGCATCTTGTCATACTCGGACCGGGCTCTTTTTTGGGGACTAAACAGCGCCTAGGAGGGGAGGAACAAAGTGCCCCCCTCCTCCGACGTCCGGGATGGCGCGATCGAGTTTGTCACGAATCTCAAGGCAGGAATAGAAAGGTCAAATCCAACCCCTCCTTCCGCTTCCTGATGGATTTCGAACGGAAAACAGATTCAAGCATAAGCTCCCCTTTGCGAAAAAAATATTGGATGACTGGACACTACTATCCTACTTTTTTTACAGGAAACTTGAAGGGATATGAAGACCTGGACCTGTCCTCTCTCCCCTACAAGACGTTCAAATACCATTCCAAGGCCGTGCGGGCGGTGGCCTTCCACCGCCCATCTTGAATGCGCTTCTAAAATTATCAAGACACGAACGAAGGAGTACTTCGCATGTACCCCGTGGTTCGTTGGTTCGAGTCTTGATTATCTTGGAATCGCATTCAAGCTGGGTGGGCAGAGGTTCATACCCCTTCAAGTTCCCTGTAAAAAAAGTAGGATAGTATTGTTCGCTCTTCATTTTTTTTTAAGCGAAGGGATCCTTATATACTTGAATCTGTTTTCCGTTTGAAATCCATCCGGAAGCGGAAGGAGGGGTTGGATTTGACCTTATCTGTCCCTGCCTTGAGATTCTCGACGAACTCGATGATCGCGTCATCCCGGACGTCGGAACGGGACTTGAAACACCCAGGGACGCCCTCTCACGACAGGGAATGTCCCATTGGCCACGTGCGATCGGAGTTCCCTGGTGGTCTTCACCTTCCCAAGATACGTCACCGCGTTAGTCCTGCGCAGACGAACACCCTCATTATATGTCCATCTGTACACCCCACAACATCTGGATAATGTGATTTGTTGGGTGGTGTCGAGCTCAAGCTTCATTTGTCTCGTCACCGTATCCTTCTTTGTGCACATCCCGTAGTTGTCGTTTTTCCGGTTTCCTGCTGATCGCCTGTCGTTGTTGCGGGAACGAAGAAGTTGACGACCGATAAAAGATCCTCGGCAAGCTCGTTCTCGGTTCCACACTCTTTTTCTCCGCCATGAACCACGAGTCCCACTCCATGGCTGTGGAAGATGGACTCGAGTCACTTAAACACGAAGCGACAGAGCCTGTCACGGAAGGCAATTACAACTTCTTCGACAGCTCGTTTTAAGACGAGGTCCAAGAGAGTTTGCAGTCCCCGGCGCTAGACGATGAGGCCTGATCCAATTTCGCTGACGGAGCGATGAGAAGGGTAGCTATAGCGGAGGTCTTGGATTTGCCTTTCAATGTCTTCTTTCTGATGCGAAGAGCTGACTCGGGCTTAGGTGACCTCTTCCTTTTGGTCTGGTTGTTTGTCATTGTCACCAAATTTAAGGAAACGTTTGTCCATAGAAATCTGTGTTGAAAAGGGCAGTATTAGAAGTCGTCGAAGAAGGTGAACGATACCGTTGCTACAGGGAGTCATAGCAATACTAAAAATAGAAAAGCGCAACAATACTAGGTACTGAGTGGTAGCTACAGGGAATAGTGGGTAGAAAGGAGGTTCGGGACGACTGGAAAAGCGCACTTAATAGTAGGTACCGAGTGGTAGCGCCGCTGGTACTACATTTAGTAGCAAGAGAAGACGGAAAGGGGTTTCAGGACGACTAAAACAGCCTACTACTTCAAGCTACTGAGTGCTGCTTTTCATTGCTTGTAGCTACCGCTACTTGTGGGTACGCGTAACCAAAAGCTAGCAAGGAGGTTCGGGACGGAGGTCGAGCAACCGTTCCTATTTCGAACGAGAAGCCCGCTCCGGGTAGCCAAAGGAAGGCAACGGCACTTCATGTACGGGGCTCGGGGTCATGTAGATATTGATTTCTCGCACTACAAACCTAATGATATACTTTGTCTTGTGCCACAGACTTCTTACACATCCCATACAATGTCACATTTTCGTACGCACCGTCTCAGACCTTCCGAGCACACCCGGCTAAATCCAGCTCCAGATATCAAGGAGAAGAATGCCTGCCGTACATAACGCCAAAGTTCTGTAGAAAAGAGGAGTATTGACTAGGAAGTAAGCGTTTCTGAGCATACTGCATACTGGCGATGTATTACATCAAAAACAATGCACAAATTGTACATCGGCTTCATTTATTCTTAGTCGTTTTGACACCTTCAGTCACTCTTTTTGTGAGAGCTACAAGCTAACTTATTGCCTAAATCCACGACCCAGCACCTGGTCAGGAGGGAAACTCGCAAAATTCGCAGCAACGGCGCGCATGATGCTCACCTTTTCCCACTACTTGTAGCTCTCAAAAAGGTAATTGGCGGTCTTGGCATGGAGGTCAGTAATGCAGCATTGAGGTTTTATTTTCGCCCCACAAGCCGCACGCTGTCGATTGTACCTCTGCCTATGGTTCTTGGCTTTGGTAATCTTGCTCATAATGCGGTCGACACGGTAACAGATCTTAAACACCGTATCCACGCCTCCCTTGGCGATTTCCAATATGTTCCCCGCGGGGTCGTACCCAGTCAGAAATATGCGCACACCAGGGTCAAACGCAATGCATACTCCTTCATATCCGTATGGAACTGGAATGGGCTCTGTACGAGTGGTGGGGATACATGCGAAGTACTCGTTGGTTCGTGTCTTGACAATCGAAAAACCGCATTCTAGCTGGGCGGGGAGAGGTTCAAATCCCTTCATGTTTTAAAAAAGTAGGAAAGTATTGTCCGTTCTTCCAATGCCTTGTAGGCAAAGGGAAGATCATGCTTGAATTTGTGTTCCGTTTCTCTAAAAAAATTTTCAATTGTCGGTCTCCGTGAAAAGGCGATCGGGACGTTTATGACGCGCGAAATATCCATCTTCGTGGCGTATGTCGAGGCAGACCTGGATGTGATGGAGCATCCAGTGCTGCCTTCGGGGCCTATTTCCCCTACAATCTATTCCTTAGGGGCTTTCCGAGTCTAATTATGGAGTTGTAGGGCAAGACTGTGGCAGACGTGAAAGATAAATACCACATTGCAAAAAGTGTCAATTTGAACACTTGTATTCTAGGCGGTGCGACTAATTCAAATATGGCCCCGTCGAGTACAATGCCGAGCATATCAGTGCCCGTACGACCATCAGTGCAATTTATAAAAATGTAAGAAATGCGACAATACTCGTAAGGATGTGCAGCCCGTTGGCATAGTCAATCCGCTCTGGTGCTGGAGTTGGCAGTCTGGTGTGATGAGGCCATCAGGGACATGTCATGTTTCAGTGCCTTGGGGCGATTTTCATCATTTCATCAAGGCGCCAGTCGTAAAAATAACAATGTGATCTAATCTCGCAAAGTCAGACGTATGGATACGTGCGCTCCCTCTAGTACGCCGTTGCGGCAAAAGAAAGTCTCACCCGTGGCAGTGACTGAGGCGGAGGAGACACGACTTTTGAGGTAAGAGATGATGAAATGGTGAGGGGGGAAAGCCAGAAAGTGACTGAAGGTGTCAAAATGACTAAATAGAAACGAAGCTGATGTACAATTTGTGCATTGTTTTTCACGTAATACATCGCCAGCATGCAGCTTATTCAGAAACGCTTACTTTCTGGTCAATACTCCTCTTTTCTACAGGACTTTGGCGTTATGTACGGCAGGCATCCTTCTCCTTGATATCTGGAGCTGGATTTGGCCGGGTGTGCTCGGAGGGTCTGAGATGGTGCGTACGAAAATGTGACATTGTATGGGATATGTTAGAAGTGAGGTATTACATGAATGACGCCACAGACAAGTAGGCATGCGAGTGAAATGTTCCGTATGCACGAGAAGAACGAGAACGTCCATGCCGTGCTGTCCCTAGGATGTTTGTCGTCTTTCTGCGCACACAGAAATGTAACTCCGCCGTCCATGTCACTTTCATTATTCCTCTTTCCCCCAATGTGTCCCCGTGTGCTTCTCGCAGCACGCAGCCAGCGACTTCGACCCCTCCTCTTTCTTCTACCTGCTCCCAATCACCCTGCACGTCTTGGCCGGACTCTGGTTCTTCACAAGGTAACAACGATGCCTCGGGAGGAGGCTTGGGATTATGAGGACGGCGAGGGATCAGGGAGGGCCCCAGGGCCTGTCCGCCCACGGGCAGGCCTCGGCTGAGGCGCTGACGTAGGTTTGTTCTAGGGCTCGCCCAGACACTGTTACGGTAGAACTCCGCCCTACAGCACCCTAGACAAGTCTCACCTTCCTCCTCCTTTCCTATCCTTCCATTCAAACTCCCCGTCCCTCCCCTCCCTTCCCCTTAGCAAGCAGCATCCACCCCTCCCTTTCTGGCGCCGCGTGGTGTGCCTTCGCCTCTTTTCCTTCCTTTGTCTGGCCTTGGCGGTACCCGCCCTTATCGCTCGTGTGGTAACGCTGCGAACCTACTGTCTTTTAGAGGGCCGGGTCACGGCCGACACCACGGAGGGGGATGTCTTCAAGGCAAGATGAGGTGGAGGCGAGGAGATATTGGGGTTGAGGGACAAGGTAGCCTGAAATAAGGCATAAAAAGATACATCGTTGTCCTTGTTTCTCAGTAACTTAATCGTGAGTCCCCTCGTTTCACCTGATCGGCCCCTGCCTCGTCATTTTGTTATCTAGGCCTGCACTGACGTACGCATGAACAACACGAGCCTGATCGCTGTGATCTACGCTATTCTAGGCGTCTGTATGGTACAGGTGGGTGCGTAGAGGAGCTAGGGAGAGCGGTGCAGAGAAGGTGTGATGAAGCGAGAGAACGAATGCTCGATCGGCTGCCGTGAAGGTTGTAGGATGAATGCATGGCACCGCCTGAAGATGCCAAGGGGCTTCAGTGGCATGCAAGACACGCCGCGCGCTGGTCCGCGGGCGCATAGCTCCGGTCGTGCCTATCCAAATTCCCCTTTACGCGCGCATTCGGTCACTCTCTCGCAACTTTTCCTTATATGAATCGAACTTTCCTTCCACAGGCCTTAAACGAGCTGGAGAGTCTATGCACATGGCGGCATCAGCAACAATGCAGCACTGCGCCCTACCCACGTTCCCATTACTTTTCCCGCCCTTCATGCTGGGCCACGGGTGCCGGGTCGATATGCGCTTCCACGCAGCAGGCAAGTGATGACGGAGATGGCCATGATGGTGCAGAAGCTCTTTTATATCACACCCTTTCTGCTTCTGACGATAACCGGTGCCTGTTCGGAGACGCCTCCATGTACGGTGAGCGCACTACCCCTCTGCTGCCGGCCCCTGTTCCATCCTCTCTCACTCCGCCCCCATCCACGGGACATGTGATGGGAAGCAGTGAACGTAGCGCCTTTTCTTCGTACGTTGTAGGAAGCTGTGTATAGATGCCCTGTGCGCGAAATTACAGTACATTTGGAACATAATTCATTTGAATATCGAATTTAATTATCCAGTAAGTGGACATTCTGGCCGCCCGTCAATGTCTTTTGTTTCCAGCATCAAGAAAGAAAGGAGAGACGAAAAATCATGGACTTGCAGCTCAGTTTGAGGTGTAAGGTATAATAAGCCTGATGTACTCGCCGTGCGCTGTTTTCGTTTCTCCAAGTCGTTTTTGTTTTTGTTTTTAATTTTGTGCTATTATTGACCAAACCAATTTTCGAACAAAGATTTAGGGATTTGAAGGCTGATCAAAGATTGGAAGGCATGTATCTTAGAATTTTGTTCAGCTGATGCCATATTGTATACGCATAAGTGCACTTTGTAGAGGCGGCGAACATGGGTGAGGGTTTTACCTCGATATCTCTGGAATTCTCCACGGTCATTTAGCAGGCCACACGAAGCCTGATCCCGTCATCAGCCACATTGATTGATAAAATAGCATTTAAAAAAACACACGTGAGGCGTACGCTTTGATGATTGGATACTAGTAGCCACCAGAAACCTACCAATTTTCGCCGACAGAACCTTCGGGCCGTCTGAAAATTTGAAAATTTTGAAATCTCATGGGAAAAAATGAAGCGGCCGACTTTTGTACGACCGTGTAAACATCGTCTCTCTATCATCTATGTCCCGAATGCTGCGATGTAGTGAATATTATGCTGCAAATGGGCTTTCGGGAAGGGTTTCATGTCAATGTAGTGAATACCCACGTCCCTATTCGATGTTCCTTGGGCCCAGCGGGACATTTCTGGGAAGTTTCTTTCAATTCACGACATGGCGTGCTCACTTATCGCCCCAGACGCTTTCCATTCACTCACACCGGGCATTCCCCCTTCTGTCGTATTTGCGCCTTCTAATGTTCTATACGCTTTGAAACACGCACGCAGGATGATTCCGGAAAGTAATCATCGACAGGATGGTTGCACGGGCCGGAAAGAGCGCTCTGCTCTACGCCACGTCTTTCACGATCTGCAACAAGCACCTGCTGACGGCTTAGCATGCAGTTACTGCAAAAAAATAAGTCCGACCCTGGCAGCATGCTCCTGGTGCTTGTCAACGCTTTATTGTGGTACGTAAATACTCGATATCTTAGTGGCGTCGTTCCTTGTCGCGGCATTCTTTCTTGTAGTCTCTTTTGCAAACTTTAGGTCCGGTTTCTGACAGCCCTGAAGAGCAATGTCTCATCCTTCTTCCGTTTGTTGGATACATGGTTTTTATAATTCACAGGAAAAGACTGTCAGAAAAAGGATTGGATAGCTAAGCATCAACAAGAGTGCTCCTCTTTGGCCTTTTTAGGCTTGCAAAATTTTGTCCAGGCGATTGAAGAGCAACAACGTCTCAGGGCGTCCGACATGCAAGATGGTCGCAATCACAAATGCGATTCCTACCCATGCCACTCATCTGAACAATTTTCTGGTAGCGAAATGTGTGGCCTAGGACTCACAACTCAGGCTGTAGACGCTTGGTTGCTGGAGATGGGCCGCGCGGCCTTTGCTGCTTCCTCTGCCCCCGCCGCTTTCCGTTTTCTTGAACCTCGAACGACGGTGCGCACTCTGGACGAAATCCATCTACCAGACCCCGCGTTGGACGGTCTTAAGACGCTTAGCATTCTAGCAAAGGGCAGCATTGAACATCTTCGGCGAAAACAGAAACAATGTAGGCCTGGGTGCTCGTCTCCTTCTTCCTCGCCCTCCACAAATTCGGTTGCCGCCCGCATGTACTTGAAAGCCCTGGCAGTTCATGCGCAGCTGTGCTCTGGTCATGAAGAGAGCCGCGTCAAGCAGAAAGTAGTCGCCAAATCCATCCTGGAAGCCTTGACTTCGTATCAGGAGGCTGCACTCCATGTTCCCACTTGGACTGTCCGCCTGCTTGTCATTGCTGGGCGCTTGCTCACGTCCCTAAAACAGCGGCCCCAGGCCATAGCGTTGCTTGAGACCTACTTACCCCTCCTTGACGCGTCTCCCATGGCGGCACCTTTGATTAAGGCCTACTTGTGGCTCTACTACACCCAGCTGAAGTACTACGACCTGGGCGCCTGCTGGGACCGGGCTTTCAGGGACCAGGGCGAGGCCGCAGCCCACGTTGCGGTCGTCTTCCGCCAAGCCCTGTTGCTACTCAACGATGCCCGGGAAATTAATCGAAAACCAAGGCCCTCCTCTGTTTCCACCTCCTCCACTTCCTTCAATTCTTCGCCCTCAACCTCTCCTCCATGCTCCCCCATGCCCTCTCCCCCTCCCTCTCCCTCCTCATCCCCCTCCTCTCCTGTGGTCTTCTTCGAGGCGTCATGGCAGATGGAAGCTCTCGTAGCCACAGCGAGTTTCCGGCTGGCGGACTTGCTTCTCTCCCCGCTGAGTGGCTCGAGTGGGAGGATCGAACCAGCAGCAGCTCGAGAGGCCCTGGCGCTCTGTCGCACGTGTCTTCAGAATGCGGCCCCTCTGCATTTTCGCAGCCTGCGTGTTTACCTAGCAACCGCCTTGCGCGCGGCGGGTGAAGGTGGGGTGGAAGAGGCTGCGGCCGAAGTAGAGGCAGAAAGGGCCCGGCGGGCAGGGAGGGAAGGGGGGAAAGAGCGCTCCTCTTCGTCCCCGTCCTTGCCCCGCTCCGCCTCTCTTTTGAACATGCGAGGTCGCGAGAACGTCTGGCTGTTGCCGGAGGAGTCTTGGTGGGCCATGTGTGGTCGCTTTTACCACAAATACAAGGAGCCCGATCCTGCGCTCCAAGCCCCTTGCACCTCTCCCCAGCAAGCTTCGCTCCCGGTGCTTCGTTCTCCACAAGCGCTCGAGCAGGCGCCGAGGCATCACTCGATTTCACCCCCAAGGTCTCCAGAGTCCTGTCGAGACTTGGATATTCCCAGGTCGGAGGGCGAGGGCAGGGTTGAGGTGCGGAGAGACACGGTGGTGTTGCAGGCGCCGACGCCACGCCCTCGCAAAGACCTGACTGTTGCCGCCCTCCTTCGCGCAGCCCGGCCTCGGCCTCTCGCTTCCCCGCCCAAACTGGAAGACAGTGGCTGCGGCATGACGTCCAATATCGACCAAGACATGGAGAGGCTCACGCTCGCGAGGTGTGTGCCCCCTCACAAACGTCACCGCACCCAAGACCAGGCTCTGCGCGCGCCGCTGGGACACTGCGCTGCCGTGTCCTGGGAAGCTGTCTCGGCCAATGGATGATTTTTCCTTAGTCTTTTAGCTGTACGATTGAAATTGTATCCAAAACCAGAAAGGCAGAGTGTAATTGTCCAATGCCCTGCTTGAATGCATGCGCGAAACGTAACAAAAACATGTTTGCGACGCTAAGTTGAAATGAAGTGAAGAAATCACTACTTGTAATTGCACGCGATCCTCACTCAGGAGAGCAGCTTCCTCTCTTTGGCATCTTCATTTCATCGTTCCTATTCACATTCGTCGCTTATAGCCGTCCTTCTAGTTCACCTCGATGCTCTGGGTCTGACTCGTCAATTCAAAGTGCTCGGGCGCCTGCATCGGCAACTGGGAAGGTGCCAAATCCGGGTAGTTTTCCTCGATCGCTGTCAAGACAGCCTCATAGACCAAGACACTACCCTGCGCGGACAGGTGTAAGCCATCGCCCAGGTTTGGGGCGACCGCCTCCGGACTCCTCCCCCCCAGCCTTCTCCACAAGTCGACCACCGGCACTTGCATCTCCCTCGCCACCCCTTTGCTCGCTCTGGCATACAGCCGCGTCACCTCATTCTTCCGATCCAGAGGCCGGCCTCGGCTCTGACAATGCACCTCCCACCGCGCCTCGTCCACGGGCGGGGGCGTGAGAAGGAGGACGCGTGTGGCCGACCCGTCCTCCCGCCGTCGTCCTTGCAGGTGGCTGACAATGCGACGCAGGTGCTGTTCATACTCATGCACGGGCACATGTTGCTCCCGACTAGGTAAGGCAGCGTCGTTGGCACCCAAAAAAACAATGGCCAGCGCCGGCACTTCCCAAGCGGGGTCCCCGGCAGGGAAAAGCCTGGGGGCCATCAAAGCGCACCATTTCGTCGTGTAACCTGAGAACCCCCGGTTCACGATGTCGGCCCGACGGCCGTAGGCGTGGGCAAGGCCGGCAGCCCATCCTTGTCCAGGACCTTCGAAGCCACGCTGCGTCAAGCTGTCACCGAACAGAAGAATCTTGGGCCGTTTTCCTGACACGCCAATGGTGGGGACGGTGGATCTTGTTGACGACGGAAAGGGGAGGGAGAAAAAGGAGCGAATTGCGCGGGGGAGGAATGACGAAGTCAAAGATGACGATGCATGTGGGTCTGGACGCCGGGACTCTGCCGTATGGAGCAGGAAGGCATTGAATATTGTGGCAAGGCCTATGCCTAGGACCAACCCCATAAACAAAGACCACTGCTCCCGCCTATTGCTGACGCCTGCACGAATGTGGCTTGGGCCATAGAGGGAACTAAATGACTTGTAGATGGAAGAAAGAAGCACCTGATGCGGATGGGAGCTTCTTGACATGGGGTTCTGATGGGCCTTTTGGTCTTTAGAAGTGCTCAGAAAGAGCGAGGCCGGCGAGCTCAGCAGGTTTCAAAGAGACTTTTGAGGTTGTTGTGCGCCTTCGGCGAGACTGCGAACACAATAAATCTAAAATGTGAAGACAAAATGGGGGCGACGAGGCTAAGTCAAGGTAGAACGACGACACCGCTCGATGGCGTTGTGTGCAGCCCAGCATTTCACTCCAAAACACGGAGGGCCGCAGGATAGGCGGCAATCGTTGTTCTTGTTTTCGCCAACGGCCTTGAATACAAGTTGTTTAAGGGGGGGGGAGGTCGATTGCATTCGCGGGGGCAAATAATCTATTTCTTGGTTCTAAGACGCCCCAAAACTCGAGTGCACATTGTTAAAAAGGGGACAACATGTCATTTTTGGGGTCAACTGAAACCTTTCATGACGCATCTTTCTGGTCTATACTTCTTTTATCCTGATAGTTACACGACATCCTCAGACAAAAGGCATCCACCCTTCAAAGAGCACGCATAAGCGATCAGGATCGGTGGCCTCCCGTATCCATTTGTCCACTTGCTGCCTAATTTCTAACGCTTTTCGAGGATCATCGGCGTTGCTGCCCACTGAACGCCCCTCTATCTTGGCTTGAACTTTCCTCAAAGCCCCCAATGCGGCGGGGGATGGATGCTCTCTTTCCGTGTCAGGGACATCGTACATTGGCAAATGTTCGCCTGTCCTCAATTCTTCATTCCTCCTGTCACATCCCATTTTGTCGATTTTCTCCTGACCCTTCCCACCAATCTCCTTGTCCTCCTCCTCTTCTTCAGGCTCCGAGACAGAGTCCTCCGTCTCGGACCCCTCCCCATTTTTTGCCACTGCCACCTTCGCTGCGTCGTTGGCATCCTCTGCCAAGTCTTCCAGTTCTTCCAAGCATGCGCCAAACTTCCCGGCGAGGCCAAGCACATGGTCCTCACCCCCCATGCTCTCAACGCCCTCCAGGAGAGACTCCAACGCCGTCGCCCACGCCTCAGGCCCCGTGAGCTCATCGACGGGCGGTCCCTGCTGATTCGAACTGCCGCCACGTCCGCTCTCGTCTTTCTGGCCGTCTCCGGGCGCGATGCAGGACGATTCCAGCAAGAAAGCCAGTGCTCCGGCCTCGGCCTCTAGGGCCTGCGTGGACCGGAGGAGGAAGAGCGCGTCCTCATGCACGCGCCGAAGCAGGACGGAGGCTTCACGCGACGCTGTGGAGGTCGAGGCCTGCGTGGCCCGGACGATGGATTTCAGCATCCCAACGTCCAGGAGGCGGGCGCCCGCCGAACCCGTCGAGGAGGACCAGGTGCGAGACGAGGGCTCCTGTGCGGATGGGAGGGGGGGAGGCTCGGGGTGTGTGGGAGGGGAGCTCAAGCAGAAAGACGGGCAATCGCGGAGCTCCGCCGCCAATCGACGCAGGCTTGTTCTGACGTCTGCCTGCATTACATGTTCCTCTTCCATCCAAGCACGGCGTCTTTCTCCCATCTCCACCATCCGCCGGTCCACCGCGTTCGCCTCTCTTTCCAAGACCGCCATGTCTGCTTTGGCCCGGCCCATCTCACGCAAACAGCCAGCCTGGGCTTTGCGCTTCTCAATCACGGGCGCCAAGGCGCCTTGGTGTTGGGAAACGAGGGCCCAAAGCGCTGCGTCCTGCGAGTCCGTGCCGGGCTCCACGCCCCGCATATCCACGCGCGATCGCTCAAAATCCAAGACCCCCTCGGCCGCCAAGAGGATGGCCCGGGCCCCTGTGCTCGCCGCCTCTACGCAGGATACGAGGGCCTTGGTCTTCGAGTCCCATTCGACCAGCGCCTCCTCCGAGGACAGGGAGCGGCCCCCGGAATTTGTCGAGCCTTTGTTGCCCCGGGCGAGGCGCATCAGATCCTGCTTCCGCTTCAGCCATGCGTCAAGGTGCCTGGAACTCTCGTCTCGCGACGCAGGACGCGCATTTGACAAAAACGACGAGACAAAGGAAGGGGGAGAAACGTTGTCCGAGCCTTTGGTGGAAGGTGCCAGGAAGCTTGCAGGGGCCTTCTCTTCCCCTCGCTCTTCCTCCGCTTGGTCCCACAGATCAGATCGCTCCACGGATAAGACCTGCGCCAGAGTTACCACCGCGCCAGCGAGGCACTGCAGCAAGAAGCTCCTACGCTGAGAGGGAGGAGTGTGCGGCACGTAGATTGCGGAAGAGGCGAGCAAACCCTCTGCACCCAGAACCCTCACGCCCACACTTTTTGCGGCGGCCAACACCTGGAAGTCGCCGTCCAAGTCCCACTCTAAGCGCGTGAGGGAGCGAGCAAGCGTCGATTCCATCTCTTCGGCTTTCCTCATCGCTTCGGCCGCAGCCAACGATGAGGCTTCCTGCACGGCCAGCGATTGCACCAGTTCAGACACTGTCGCCAATGCCTGGCATGCCGCAGAATAAGGTGCACTGGCGCTATCAACATCCTGTGTGGCGGCTGTAGTGGCTTGCGACGAAGCATAAGCATCAAAGGCGCCGATCCAGCTTTTCCACCGTGCACGGGGACTCACTTCCACCAAGTGAGGTGCCGCGACCTGTTGTACCTCCCTGGTCGACGCCACGCGTTCCAGCAAGTCTGGCGCGGACACTCCCAGCACTCGCATCACGCGGTCCACAAGGCTGCGGGTCGCTAGGCGCACCGGCACGCCCACGGTTATGCTCAGCAGACGCTGCATGCTGTCGGCCAAAAGCCTGTCCAGGGCTGCCACTCTCCACTCAGTTCGCCCGCCTTGTGTCCTGGCATGGCTCGAGTCTATCTCCCCCCTCTCTCCACTTTCCCCACTGCTTTCTTCTTGGTGCATCCACACTGTCATCACCTGTGAAGTCGTTAGAATCCGCTCAAGCTGCAGCATGCTGGTGGCCGTCCCTTCACCCAGCCAGGGCCAGTACTCCGGCACGCCTTGTACGCCCTCGACCACAAAATCCGACCGCGCGGCGGCCGAGAAGGGGGAGGGCGCAAGGCTTGCGACCAAAAATCCGCCTTCTCCAAACGATCGAAGATCCCTTCCACGAACATCCCCAGACGACGCAGAGGCAAGGTGGAGACACTGGGGGAGGCAAGGAGTGCTTTGCACGCAGCCTCCAGGTCCTCCACCTGCTTTCGCCACGCTGTCCAGGCGTCGCGTGTAGACGCTGGGAGGGAAAGTGTATCGATGAGGGAGAGGGATGAAAAAGAGGCGGCCAGAGAGTCCGCGTCCCCAACGAGCTCACTCTCAACAAGCTGTTGCGCTCGCTTGCCAACCGCGTCGAGCACCATTTCCTTCCCTCTCTGCCACGCCTCGTACAAAAGCTTTGCATCCGCGGTAACTTCCGCGAAAGAGCTCCCGTGCTCATTTTCTTTTTCTATCACTTGTCCTTGGGCGGTGCAATTTTCCCCTCCTCTTTCCTGTCGAGACAAAGCGCCCACTAAGGCTTGAATCTCATTTCTTTCCGCCAGGCTGTACACGCGTCGGAGCGTTGCCAAAGTCTCTGTCCGCAAGGCCGTCAGTCGCTCGCCCGTATTCCCTCGTTTGATTTCCTCCTCCACCCGCCCGATCCCAGGAACAAGCACCTCCTTGATGAGTACCTCAAGATGCGAGAGCCGCCGCTGTATTTCCTTTACGAGCCCGGCGCGTCGATCGACGACACCGTTGGAAGGAGTAGAGGCAACTTCCACTTCGAAATTCTCCAGGCTTCTCATCCATCCCCACGTTGAGTCAAGGGGCGACACAACCCTTTCCAGCAAGAAGCGATGCATGGCACGCTGCTCGTATACTTGATGCAGCCGAGCATGATTGCGCTTGCCCTCCGATATCGGGGCCAAATTGCTCGCCTTACAAAGGGCCCGCACCGCCACTTTGAGCCTGTCTTTAGCTGCCTCCAGATCTTTATCCTGCTGCTCTCGACGTTTCCGTGCATCGAATGAAGTTCCTCGTCCTTCTGATTCTCTATGGCAGCTTTCCTCACTCACTAGGGCCTCACGCCGCTCCACTGCCACGCGCAGCGCCGCCTGGAGATTGTCAGCCCAAGCTGTATCGGCCTCTGCGCGACGAAGACGTTCCTCGTTCGCCTTCATGCCTGCCCTAGGCCGCTGCCATGCCGGCCAGACCTCCTCCAATGCCTCTTCAGGCCCTGCTTCGACCATCGCCCAACCTGCAATAGACGGACCACAAGGAAGGATGCCCCCGTCCCCGCCTCCGCTATCGGCCGCGGCAGAGGACTCCATCGTAGACGAAAAGGCAATCAGGAGCCGCATGCGCTCTTGTTGGGCCCCCACCACCCTCAACCATCTTCTAGTAAGGCTCCTCCCAACGTACTCGTCGGGTTCGATACTTAAGGTGTCACGAACGAGGCTGGAATAAGCGCGCATTGGCTCAAGGACCCGCTCGAGGGCTGTTTCCAAGACACGCAAATACTTGCCCAATCGAGCGTCCTCGGATCGACAGGCCTCGATAAATTGGTCGTGGTAGGCGCACTCTTCTTCACCGACTGGTGGGGGAAGCAGGCTTGAGGCTCCCCTGCTTAAAAGGCAATACTGCGGCTGCAGACCCCGGCCTAGAAGCCCAGGAGCAATGGAGAACGGATCGCCTTCGTCTCTCTCAAGCTCGTAGACTGCTCCTTTGGCCGATCCATTGGCGGGTAAGAGGATGCGTTGAATGTTGTTCCGCAATGAGCTGCTCACCTTCTCAACCAAGCGTCCGTCCTCACTACGTAGTCTAACCCCGTCAACTTCTCTGCCCAGCCCTTTTCCTTCCTTCCCATCCATCGCCCTATCCTGTCCCTTCCAAAGCACCTGCTGCACCGCCCATACTTGATATTCCCATCTCCGTTTCAGCTGTGCCGCTGCTTTATGGAGTGCTTTATCTAGGTCTCGACGAGAGGCATCGAGGACGAGAGCTGATCGGCCCTGGTCTTCCGCCTGGAGCTGCAATGATACGAGCCTCCCCGCTAGGTCAGCACGCTTCTGTCCCAGCATGGTGCCCTCAAC